GACTTAAGTAATTTGATATTGCACACTTATCTCAGACAAGTGGGAGATTGAAGGATTTATGTCTTCGTTAAGTGCAATTACTAGATATATAATAGATCAAATTATGGAGATAATTAAGTTCGTACATTTGGGGTTCTTAGTAGTTATTTTGTAAAGTATGTAAACATTTTATGTTTGATTGTGGTGATTTAGGGATGGTTTAACACCTTTTAGTAAAATGTGTCTTGGTTGTTATGTAGAATATGACCGGACAAAATGTAGTGTTGTTATGCCGGTGGGGAGGTGAAATTTTGTGCGATGGATCAAATGTTGAGTATAGTGGAGGAAATATGGAACCACTAACACTTGAACCGAACATGACAGTCAACGATTTGATGAACGAGGTTCATAGTAATATTGGTTCAAACCCTATGAATGTTGAACTGAACATTAAAATGAGGTTTGATATTGGTCATGGGGTTCAAGTGTTACCTGTTTCTACGAACAGACATTTGAAAGCTTTGAGGAGCATTGTTGCAATGAAGGGTGTTCCCAATGATATATATGTAGAAACGGTGCCTATATGTACCCAACAAAGTACTCGGCCAGAACAACAAGCTACATATGTCTCCGATCACAACACCGCGTCCTTCCAAGTGCCCTCAAACTACATTCCATCGAATGAATATGGGATGGGACCCTTTAGTCTAATGTTGCAGGACGATCAATTTCACATGTCGTTAAGTTCTCATATAGCTTCACCAGTACATGCGGGGGGATGTGGGACAATGTTCGGCCAACCCGGTCCTTCGTCATCGAACACCGTAGCATCTTCACCGATGCAATTGCATAGTTATTCGCCTATACAAGGTGATGTTCAAGCATCACCGTCTCGAGAAGAGCCAAATAATATTGTGAATAATGAATTATTGGTGTATGATGTGTATGCGGAAATGGATGATGAGGACGAGAACGGAGAGGAGGATGATGAGCCTGCACAGATGGAAGTTGGCGAGCCCTTGGTTAGAACTCCCGTACCTTGGTTCAGTGAGGTAAACAAGAACTATGAAGTTGATCAGTATTGGGCCAAACCGGGTAGCCACACACCGTTTGTTCCCGAGGGAGAATTTGAGAAGGGAATGTATTTTGAAAGTAAGAAAATGCTTCAAGAAATGGTGAAGATGTATTCTATACAGAGGAATCAATTCTACACCACAGTGACCTCGAATGATAGTGTCCTTCATCTGCGATGCAAGAAGAAATGTGGTTGGATGCTACGAGGTACCAAATCTAGTGAGCACTCGCGTGGTTTTACCATAGTCACGTACAAAGGCCCGCACATGGAAACATGTGTCACTGAAGTACTATCTACTGATCACCCACACTTGGATTTGTCCATAATAGCAGAGTATGTGAAGTTGTTTGTGCGGAAAGATCCGTCCTTGAAAGTTGAATTCATACAGGAACTTATCTCCAAGCAATTTCATTTCAATGTCCCGTATCGGAGAGTGTGGTATGCCAAGGAGAAAGTTATAGCTGAAATATTTGGGGATTGGGAGAGTTCTTACGACAGACTTCCGCACTTCATGCAGGCACTCCTACAGTCAAACCCGGGAACATGTGTCGTATAGAAAAACAAAGCTTTGGTGGACGGTGTGTACTACAGCAACATGGAAGTGTTTGAACGAGTGTTTTGGGCCTTCGGTCCTTGTATCGACGACTTTAAACATTGTATGACTGTTATCTGTATCGATGGGACGCACTTGTACAGGAAGTATAAAGGAACACTGTTGGTTGCTACAAGTGTTGATGCAAGCTTCCAAGTATTTCCTCTAGCATTTGCGGTGGTTGAAGGGGAAAACACTTCCAGTTGGTCTTGGTTCCTGAGTTGTATTCAGGATCGTGTCACGCAACGGGATGGCCTCTGTGTTATATCTTATCGACATCCTGGGATCATTGCAACAATGAATGATCCTAATGTTGGATTCACCCAACCGCGAGCCTATCACAGGTTTTATGTCCGCCACATAGCTTCTAACTTGAAGACTCACGTGCGAAGTAACGACATGAGAGATATGTTCAAGGCTACGGCGTACCAAAGGCAGGAAAGAAAACTTCAAGATGATCTGTGTTTCATTGGTGAGGCATGTACCAAGGCCATTGAGTACGTTGCTCAAGTCCCGTTCACTATGTGGTCTCTCTTTCACGACAATGGTCACAGATATGGGATATGTACTACAAACTTCTCGGAAACATTTAACAATGCGTTGAAGGGAGCTCAGTTTCTACCGATTATGTCCCTTGTCGAGCTAACCTTCCACAGAGTTAATAGGTCTGATCAGGAACTTCCATACCCCCTAAAGGTCACTGCGATCCTAGAGAAGAACACCGCAAATGCCAAATATCATAGAGTGGATGCATATAATCGCCGTTTGCATATTTACCAAGTGACAACAGAAAGGGGAGAGCGAATTGGTATTAAAGGAGGCCATAAGCATACTGTTAACTGGCAGTTGAGAACGTGTACATGCAACAAACCGAAGATATTCCACCTCCCATGTTCTCATGTGCTAGCAGTCTGTGCGACGTATTCACTATCGGAGCGGCTGTGGGTGGACCCTTTACTGAAATCGGCCGCCTACATGAACACCTATGCACCACAGTTCTGGCCTATCCCCTGTGAGACAACCTGGGCACAGTGGGCACATTACGTAGGCCCTAAACTCATTTCGGACGGCACCATGGTTCGTGGAAAAGGTCGTCCAAGGTCGTAGTGCATACGCAATGAAATGGATGACACCAACCGGCCCCCGACCAAATGCAGTCGTTGTCACCAGCAAGGTCACAACTGAACTATTTGTCCATCTAGACCGACGTAGGACCTAAGTTTATATTTGTTATTTGTTGTAGTAGTATGTAGTAGTGTTATTTTGATTATTTTGTACCAGATTTTCTAAAGTCTGTAAAATTGCGGTCACGTGGATGATTTTTATATTCTACTTTGGATGTTGTTAGAAATTTTCTTTCTTTGCCTTTAAATCGTCCTTGATCGACTCACTGAGCATCAGGTGGAAACTTTTAAGATATTTGTAAACATTATGTACTGTGTATACTGTATGTGGACTAACTTAATTATAGTATTTATTTTGGTGTGTTATTGCAGATCACCAGGGATCCGTATGTACCGGAGTTGGTAGATGCCATGCCTGCACATCTACTGGATCATTAGGCAGAGTGGCGCGCCAGGGTCCCCCTGATTTGTTTCGAGGTCGTGGAGAGTCACCTACCCGACCGCGTCATGCGACAGTTCTAGCTACGCCAGTCTATTCCCCAGCATTGTGACACCAGTGTACGCCTTCACGGCATTGACCGGCGGGGAAAGGGGGAGATAAACTGGTCACTAGAGCATTGTCAATTCCTTCAGCTATGGGAGCAACGGCTGGATTATGTCATTCGAGGTGATCCGATGCAGGACATTATGGATCCTCACGATCCGTACATGGTGTGGTACAGGCGTATTACACGCCGTTTCATTAACCCCAGCTACACACCACCGTCCACACATTACCATCCAGCATATGACGTCATTAGCGGATATGTGAATTTCTTTTATTCTACTTATCGTCCTCATTTTTTATTTTTTTTATATATCATGTAACTGATTGACCGATGATTACTGCAGGTGGCGGATATGGTGGGGATGTTTGATGCACTATCACTCGCCCTTGCAGACGGACCCACCAGAGCCTAGGTCGAGCGGATGCGAGATATGTCCGTGACTTCCTTACAGAGACATGGTCACGGTTATCTCGTCCACCAGCGGGACAGTCAAGATGGCCACTCCTTCCATTCACAGTTCGACCCCGGCCAGAGTAGCGGTGAAGGTGATCATACGACACCCACAAACGCAGAGGAGTACGTCATCCACAGTACTACGCCCATCGGGACCCAGGAGGACACATCGTTCAGCCAACTCACTCCCCCACCGCCCCGAGACCCATTCACCACCATTTCTCATTATAGTCGGCGTCGTAGACAGACGGACGACACTCAGGCTAGGGAACCTTTAGCCCGAATTAATGAGTCGGGATAGTATTGTATGATTTATTTGTTGTAGACAAACATTTTCTAGAATAATGTATATAACGATTACATTATTAATATAATACATGTTTGTTGAATGAATCTATGTGTAGTTTGAAGTTTAATTTCCTTATTTATCCAAATCGGACTTATGTCAGTCAAAATAGATTCTTCTAGGCCGATATATAATCAAACAACAGACATTTGGGATCCATAATCAGAAATGGGGTAGAAGCGATGGCCTGTGGTGGTTAATGTGGTGGTTCATGGTGGTTTTAGTGCTGTTGGTTGTGGTGGGTGGTGGTCGACGGTGGTGGAAAGGTTGGGGCTGGTGGTGGAGGTGGTTGAAGTGTTGTTGGGGGTAGTCGGACTGTTTTGAAGTGCATAACGGTGGTTGAAAGTGGCGGAAGGTGGTGGTCGACGGTGGGGGTTGGTGGTGGGGGTGGTGGTTGACTATGGTGGCTTAATCAAGGCAGGGGTGGTGTGCTGGGGCAGAAATTAGAGAACAAAGGCTGCTGGCAGCTGGTGCTGCAAACCAGCAGAGAAACGCTGTTTCAGACAGCGTTTTATGTTGTACATAAGACGCTGTCTTAGACAGAGTTTTATGTGTTTATTATTTTTTTTTTCTTTTTATTTTTAAAAAACAGAAATTATAAATTTTTTTTAAAAAAAGTCAACATCTAAAATCGCTTTTAGGTTGAATTATTTTTTTTTTCAAAAAAACTCGGGCATAAAACGCTGTCCGAGGCAACGTTTTACCCTAGAAGCTTAGTTTGGTAAATACTTTTGCCACACAACTATTTTGGTATTTATTTTGTCAATTGGACTTAGTTTGGAGAAAAGTTCACTACCAAATGTAATATTTTTTTGTGTTTAAAAATCCACAAGAGGAGCTCTAACCACTTGAATTATTCCTCAATCGCTACTTTACTCCGTATTCATACACCGAAGGCATGGCTGAACAGGTAAGCGGAGGTAACTTGTTCCCAACTCCGGCTTTGAAGATCTCCTTATGAAACCATTCATTCTTCAAATCCCAAAAAATTGACCTTCAAATTCGATGAAACATCCACACATCTACCACACCATCACAACCAATAAAAAATGGCGAATCTCAATCTTCTTCCTCTCCATTTTCTTTCTCTTACTCATCTCTTCTCTTGCTCTTCTTCGACGCAAATCATCTTCAACTGCCACTTCTCAATCATCACACCATTACAACTCAAGAGATTTCTCTGAATCAAGGCTTCCACAAATCCCGAGGTTCGCTTACTTGATATCAGCGACCAGAGGCGAAGCTCCGCAAGTCAAGCGATTGCTTCGAGCTTTGTATCATCCCAGAAATTACTACTTAATTCACTTTGATCTCGATGCTTCGGAGGATGAAAGGGTTGAAATTGCTAAGTTTGCGAAATCGGAACCGGTGGTGCGGCAGTATAGGAATGTTTTTGTTGTTGGAAAGGCAGATTTGATCACTTCAAAGGGTCCAACTGCTTCTGCTTCAATGCTTCATGGTGTTGCTATTTTGTTGAGGCAGGCCAAAGATTGGGATTGGTTTGTTAATCTTAATGCTTGGGATTATCCTCTTTTTTCACAGGATGGTAATTTTTTTTTTTTTTTGGCATTTTTGTTGTTGAGCATTTAGTTGCAGTGTTTGATTCAGAAGCTATTAATTATTCTATATTGTTTGGGAAAAGAAATGTCATGTAGGCCCTAATATGTTGAAATTAATTCCACCTGATTTAGGCGGTAAAGGGTTAATAAGTTCATATAAGATATATTGAAGAAAAATAAGTTTGATAAGAGTTAATAAGGGTACTAATTTCAATTTACATCTATTACAAGTTTTGGTAAGTTTTGATGGGTGAAAATCAGGTAAATATAACCCATCCCTAAATCAATGATGAGCTTAAAAGTGTTTATGCTCCAGAATTGCATTTTTGGATGAGCATGTGTTATTAATGACGACTTGTTTACAAAAAGAATTTTCAAAATTAAATTAAGTTTCAATGGATGTTGGTAAGATGTGTGTATTGGTAGATAATGCTATGTGGACTTACTTGGAAACAGGAAGTCGGAGTGCAGGGGAGAGAGGGGGGGGGGGGATCGAAATTGCATAAGTTGATAATTCAGCAGGGCAATACTAACTCTTGATGATTATACTGACTGTTGAGTAAGCATCTTGTTAACTATTAGGGTACTATGCATCAAATCTTGAAAACTGTAAGAGGGATATAAGAAACATTGTAACTCAACTTACTTGATTTGAAAAGTTGTTTATTTAAATAGGATGGAGAGAGTAAATTACCCATGTCACAAATCTTCAACCGTGTATATAGTAATAATTTCATAGAGTTACACCCATGACCCTATTCATTGTTAGCCATCACTTGATGTATGGATAAATTAGTGTAAAAATTTCTGTAAGCAAATTATATGACCTAAAGAGTAAAGACTGAATGATTGAATGTACTGGTGGTTAAAGATATTTAAAGGTCTTTGAGAAAAAAAAATTGAGTATAAAGTTCATCAACCTAAACAGTAATTTATTCAGATATGAATATGCAGCACAAACATACTATAGCCGTATTGACTCAACTTCGATACGAAGTACTGATCTTACTACCGTAGCACAGATGACATACTAACAAACAATAGTTTTATCCCTTATACTTGTCATATTCATTATTGATTATCAGGCCATTGACAAGCTTTTGGTCCTTAAGAATTTTTTGGAATGCTTTTCGGTGGTACTTCTCTTTCAAGTATACTCTACTGTCCAAATTTTCATTTCTTTCCTATTAGGCTAATTTTAGTTTATTTCAAAATTGAGGGAAGAAATAGGAGAAATAAAGTAGAGAGACAGTGATAAGAAGAGGAGGAAGTGGCTGAATAGCTCCTATTGATATTCAAGACTTTTAAGGCACAAATATAGAAGTGCTTCTAGCGTTTCATCTTTGTACGATGCATTCTAATTCTTTTTATTTATTTATGTATATTTTATTTTCCCCCTTTTATATAAAGCTAATTTGAAGTGTTGTCTTTTTACGCAGATCTTCTGCACATCTTCTCTTACTTGCCTAGAGACTTGAACTTTCTTGAGCACACGAGTGATATTGGTTGGAAAGAGTGAGTATTCTTCTAGCCTCTATTTCATGTCTTTATTAATTCGGAATTATCAGTAAAAGAGAATATTAACAGACGTCCTCTGTATGCAGACATCAAAGAGCAAGACCTATCATCATTGATCCTGGCTTGTATCATGTAAAAAAATCGGGAGTTTTTTGGGCAAAAGAAAAAAGGTCTATGCCTTCTTCGTTCAAATTGTTCACAGGTAAGGCTTTACAACCCCCCCCCCCCCTCCCCCCTCTCTTCTTTTATTTTGTCATACATGTCATGTCTTGACCTAACTGGCTAACTATTAGTGTTGTATCCTGAAACTTAAACTATGTGTGTTAGCCTTTGCGTGTGTGCATTTTCGATGCCTACGTGGCTACGTGCTTGTGTGTTTGTGTAATTGTACTTGTATGCATGTGTGTGTATGTGTGCTGTCCTTACACCTTAGAATTTGAGCTGAAAATTAGGCATTTGTTCTTTCCAAGCCTTTTTTTTGTCAATATAAACTATCCCCTTTTTAACTGGTTTTGTCTTGACGGTTTATTAGAATCACAAAACCTGTTTCTATTTTCTGGTGGTTATCATAAACTTTCAAGATCATTTGATTAATAGCTTCTTATGTTTTTAGTTATTGAAAAAGTTATGTAATATATTCATCATGGGCTCATTTCCTTCTTCCTTCATTTGGTTTTGATTGCTGATGGTTAACATCATTATACTAACTTGTTTACTTTTATAACAATATGTAAGAAAACATAATTAGTTTACACCTTTTAATAAGGCTCCCAATAGGAATTAAAAGACAACTGAAAAAGAACCAATATAAAAGCAAAATCTCTTATAATATATCCCAAGTTACTTTTAATACGGCTATTCTATGACTGATAAATATTGGTATGTATGTAATAACACATCCAAGAACAAAGACATTTAACTAACTATGTTTTGTGTCTGGGCGATGCTCGAGTTGTTGATAATATTTTAAGATAAACTTTTTGGCTTGAATGCTATCACATCACATACGGGGTACCCTTATCTTATGATTACCTCAATTACAACTTTATCATTTTGTTTCAGTTACTCTGTTAATTATTGATTACAAATTGATTAGTACTCATCTCTGTAGTTCCTAATATTCTTCCTTCTAAATATCTCCATTGTTGGAGGGATCATTTTCTTAAAATTTAATCTCTCCGTTTCTCTCCCCTCTGATTCCCTTCATCCCTAATTTGTTATCCAAATTAAAGATACTCCCTCCCTCCATTTCCCTTCTTTTCCTTTCCCTTTCCCTCCATTTCCTTTAATCCAAACATAGGTGATGGGGTCTAGCACACAAGTGTACACAAAATGAGTTTATGGGAATTTAAGGAAGGGGATCTAGTGTTCAATAACTTAATTTAAGTCTCTATAGAGGATCCAAACTAGATTATCGGGATAAACAATCAATAGAGCATAAAATCAAATTTCCACCTTGAATTCATTTTACAAATCTTATCAATTAATCATACAAGATATACATCATATAAACACACTCTCTTGCACACTTTATTTAACTTGAGATGCTCCACCAATTTCAATAAACTAAAAGCTGCTATTCAATCCATAAAAGAGCTTAATCCTCTACCAAGGATCCAAACTAGATTGTCGTGCTAAACAATTGATACAACAAAAAACCAAATCTCCACCTTGAATTCCTTTTACAAATCTATCAATAAATCATAAAAGATACACACTCTATTTAACTTGAGATGCTCTACCAATTTTAATACACTAAAAGCTGCTGTTTAATCTATACAAGAGCTTATCAACTAGATTGAAAAAAACAAAACATATATGGATGAGGCCTTCATCAATACAATCAATTGAAAAAAAAAACCCCTAGAATTATGTAAACAGTTTAATTCTTCCCTTAAACCCCCTAATTTATTACTAATATGCTTGGTTGGGTATCGCCCAATTCTACCTAAGAATCTACTTACTAATGTTAAAATTCACTTTAATAGTATGATTCAAAATTTTCTTGGACTAGGCATTGTTAAGCAAATTAAGGCTCAAATACTCACTGTGATGAATATCAAAGCTAACACATACAATTACTTCTAATAGCTATGGATGAATTAAATCGAAAGAAATCACGAGATGAAAAAACTATATCATCTTGCTTTAAATAAATTATCACTAATGCAGCATAATGTTAAGTATTCAGCATTAAGTAATCTAGATTAAGGTTAAACTAATACTAAGAAAATTGCATGTTTTTGGATTTTAAAATCGGTAGGAAAGCGATAAAAAGAGGATGGATGAAAGAAAGTTAATAAGATGCTTCATTGATTAGTAAATATGTAAATTATCCCAATATTCCTCTCTGAGAGTAATGCTAAGTTAAGAAATGAAAATAAGCTTTATACCCCACTTTAATTACAATTTAGAATAGGTCAAACACCTCAAAAGGATGAATACGCATTCAAGTTTCTATAAACAATGTACCAAAACTTATTTAGGGGTTTAGAGATCATATCAAAAGTTCATAAAACACACATAATACTTGACTGCTTGGGAAACACTACACAAAAGTGAATCTTTGCATGTATGATTTATTTTACTTCGTATTTTTTTCATTCCACGATGGCTGCTGATAAGCATACTTAACCTGAGATGCTGCTCATGCAGTATTGTGACATTACAGCGGTTGCAACTGCACCCACGATTTTTTTGCTATGCCCTAAATACAGAAGACTCTAAAGTAACTGAAGGACATAATTTAGATGTTATAGATCAAGCTAGAATGCTAGATAGCTAAAGACTTAAGTAGAAGACCGAAACAAGGTCAGCGCAGAAGTTAATTTGGAGACAAAAAACTTACATGTGGTTGGGATTTTTCTTGCTGCTCTTAAGGTCATCTAACCCAGCTAAACAATTTTGCATATGGAAATTCTTTTATTGCAGCTTAGATGAGGAGAAAAGACTGTAAAAATGACTTAAGACTCCAATGCTGCTGCACCCTTAGAACAGGAGGGGGTGTTTTGGATTTGAGCTGTAGTTAACAACCCCATTATGGCTCTTTGGTTATTTATCTAGTTTATCAAAACTAATAGAGACTAATTTCCACAATTGCTCTCACTAATTCACTAAAGGGTACAATCGTGACAAAAAAGGTATGATCTCACAACTGGTCAAAATCAGTAACATTAATAACATAGTTAGGTTTAAGCTGTGACTGAAAGGGTGTTTAGGTCAACTAATCGTGCTTATAGACAGCTAATGGCTATAATAATGCTTAACTAGTTAACGAGTATTTCATTAAATATTTCTTTTGATTTGATGAAGTTTTAAGCCTTAGAAATCAAGTTTGACCTGACAGCTGTACTGCGAAACAATTTGGTTAAATGAACTTAATTTTGTGTAAAAGTTGGTTCTATAGTTTGTTATCCAGGTTATCTTAGATCATAGGTAACTGCTGTAAGTAAGGTCCATTTCATAAGAGTCTCTTGGGTTTCCTTCAATTAGAAGCTTTATAGATTGGCCAACTCAAAATAATCTCCAATGAATGAGCTAACATGCTAATATAATTCAAACTAGACATCAAGGGGCTCCCTACGGTCATTTAAGTATTTGTTAAAAAGCTTCTAGTGTTATAAATTGCTGCTTGCATTTGTTCAAGTGCTAGCACCTTGCCTTGTTTGGCTCTCCCACCTAAATTTACCCTTAGGGAATAAAGTTGGCTACTTGATTTTAGATTTGATGTGAAAAAGAAGAACACATATCTATTTTTGATGATTTTTGTAGTTTTTGAGGGCAAAGAAAATTAAAGATATGATCTTGGATCAAGATTTAAGGAAACAAGCTAAAATAATCAAACAAAAAGTAAGATTATCTAGCAAAATAACTTGATCACTTGTCACAAGGTCTGGAGAAACAAGGGTTTCAATCTAATTAATCACAAAGTTTGATAAAGATTGAGGTTTTACCACAAAGGAGAGATCACCAAGAATTCAATAAGGAGAAAAACTCTCATATTTTTTATATTCTAAACAAGTCTCCGTTTTACATCATAAAAGATCTCCTTTTATAAGAAGACACTAGTACATGAAATAAAACCCTAAACCTCATTAAATCTAAACCATACAAAATAAAAGGCTAGGATTAATTACAAGATCATAACTAAAAAAAACAAACAAACTAAGTTGCATCCCGTATACGAAGAAAATTATCCAAATAATTCAAATTGAGCCCAAATTTTTCCCATCTTCATCAAGTCAACATTAGTCGAATACGGCCCAAAAGTAGCGTCGATTCTCTCGCATCAAAAAGCTAGGATTAAGGTGTAATCACAAAGATTACAATGTAACAATCACAAAGAAAGCAAATAATCAATAAGATTGAGAGAAAATCTCATTGATTTCAAAATTAAGCATAGGTTTATCTTCTGTTGTTGCTTTGAAATTGTTGTTGATTGATTTTCCCCTCTTTTCTTGGTTGTTTCATATTAAGATTCATCATCTTCTTAAGGTTCTCAATATAGCTTTTACATGTGTGTATTCCATTCTCTTGAGTTGGTGTCCGTCCATTATTGGGAGCTCTTATAAAAAGAAAGCAAATTGCAATAAAAAGACAAAATAGACCTTCCTATTACATAAGATAACGGAGAGTTAATGTATGACAAATTTACATATTTATAAGATATTAATACTATAAATGAATAACAATGAGAAGGGCAAGACTTGTGAGAAGTTTCTACAAGTGTACAACAATCTAGGGCTAGTCAAGTGCTTGTTTGGTTGGATATAGGAAGAAATAATTCCCATTGACGTTCGATACAACAATAACAAAGCCTTAGTCCTGAGATGATTTGGGTTTGGCTAACATGAATCGTTATGAGGAACCGTTTGAAAAGGAACAAGAGCATAATAAGACAATTAATTGAATAAAAGTTTGAAAAAAAGGAAAGGAAAAGGAAAAGGATAAGGTGTGTAATTGACAAGGGAAAATTATGTCAACTTAGACCAACACTAGGAAAGTGGCGAGTAAGAGGTTGATCCACGAGGAAAGGGAAGCCTTTTGCAAATGATTGAAGACAAAGCTATTTCGAAATCGAGATTGAGAGATTTGAACTAAACTAAATCAAGTAGCAACAAGCAAGAACGAAATTTAATCAATCAATAAAAGACACTAGGGATTTGAGATCCATATGTAATCATGGTCAATCAAGCAAAGTGTGGGAAACAAGTGATTTAAGCATAGCAAAGACTAGTAGTAGGAGTAGTTAGGAGCATTCAATCAATCATCCTCATATTATCTAACCTAGATCCCTCTAAAGCAAGGCAATAAGAAGAAACATGATCAAATTCTCAACCAATTATGATGAACACAACATCAATTCCCATGTCAATTGAATTCAATCATGCAAGCATGCTAACATCAAGGGAGGCCAATCCAATCAATATAAGCACAAAGCAAATCTTATCTAATCACTTGGATTACCATACGAAATCACTCAAACTTCCCAAATCAAGCTCACATTGATCTATTAAACATGTTTCACCCTAATCCCTAGCAAAGAATGTACTAAATTTTACTACTAACTTAACCAAAATCATCATCAACATTGAATTGAATTAAAGGATTGAATCAACTAATTATAGCAATGAAAATCACCTAACAAGATCATCAAATAACAAAATTAAATGCTTTAAATGAAGGCAAGTAACCCACTTGGGCGCGCTCTTGATTAACATTTGCGCCCCCGTGAAATGTTGGGTACGGAAACGCAGACCAAGGATTGCGCACCCCTGCTCGAGACCTGTGCGCCAGTGCAGCTAGGCAGGGGAGCTCGGATAGCTTAAGATGCCATGGCACGGGGGACCATTTTTCCCAAAACAAGAACTCAATCCATGAACCTAGGGCAAGTTGATAAATCATGCCCTAGGTTGTTGCGGTCTTGCCTGGGTACTTTGCTTTGCCTCCAACATTTCCTTGCTCGTGCTCTAGCTTCCCAAACCTAATCACATTGGCTTTTAAAGCTAATATCAAGCTTCCTCCTTCATCCTTGAATCTCGAGAAAGCTCCGACAGCTACAAACAAGGTAAGAAAACAGGAAAGCAAGAATAACAAAGAAATGCGTAAGAGGAATTAGAAAACTATTTCAAACACACATTTCTCTAAATTATCACACATTCACATAAAGCAAGCATTATTGCCTAAAAACGCAATAAAATAAGCTAGAAATTACCAAAAACTAAAGAAAAATACTACCCCAGGAGTGCCATAAACGACACTCATCAGTAGCGTGAGAAATAGAAATAGTATACAAATCAAATTTAAGAGAGGTTTACAATAGTGGTAAGGGGATACAATCTCATTAACATTCAATGCACATGAATCGCGTGATAAGGAACCATCCCTTAACATTTAGAGCATATTTGGTAAGAGTATTTTTAGGGTTGGAAAGCGATTCAATTAAATCATTACCGTTACCAAATGTTTGGTTAGAAGGCTTGAATAACAATTACCGTTACCTATGGGTAATGATTTCCACCCATTTTTTACCGCTTTACAGCTAAGGTAACAATTACCCTTACCCTTCTCAAACAAAAATAAAGAGATTTGGGTTTAGGTGATTCCTTTTCATGTTTAAGCTACACAAATAAAAAGGTAACTGTGAATTGAATTTTTCCTTCTCCTTATTTAATTTTTTTCTTCTAATCACTCCATTTCCAATATTCATATCAAGCGCCCCCTCAATGCAGATTAAATTCATTTTCTTAGGAAACGCCAAGATTTGCTTAGTTGTATGTAGGAATTTCTAATTCCAATGGGAATTGCCACTGGGGGATGGCTAGATGCCTATAGGTGACTTTTTCCATCAAGCTTTGTCAAAGAATAAAAATATCTTTGAATACAAGTATTTTTAACAACTTATGGCAGATTTTGGGGTTTATTTTGTTTACAGGCAACATCCACGTCAGTTGCACGGTTGCACCCTCATTCTTTATGCTATTTTTAATTAGTTGACTAGCTCAATTTTGACACTTAATGTTCATTATATTTATAGTTGTTTGTTACTAGTGTTACTACTTGGTATCATTGCCTTAGAGATCATATAAAATACCTTAAATTAAAATGAACATGCTATAAGTTGTCGTACATACCTTTTGAAATATCACGCACATCACTTGCTAAGAAAAAAGTAATCGTGTAACAGAATCCTGGATGTGTTGGTTGCATAAGACATTATGCGTGTTGCCTTAATTGAGTTCTAACTTTGTTATTGTCATACTATGTCAATGTTACTATCCACATGCTCTTCTTTGTTATAATTTCTAGCAGAATCGAACTCAAAAGCAACTTACAATCTAAAAACTTCGCTTTAGCGACTCACATTATTTTTTTCTTGCCAGTTGATGTATTTGTTGTCTTTTCTAATAAACTACTTTACTAAGTGAAACAATTTAGGGGCCATACTCTGCCTTGAGCCTGTTATAATATGCATTCCTACCATATGCTTGTGCATTGGCCGTATAATATTCTGATGCTTTGGTTTTCATTGACAGGGTCTGAGTGGGTGGTGCTGACTAAATCGTTTGTTGAATTTTGTATATGGGGATGGGATAATGTTCCTAGGACACTACTCATGTATTACACAAATTTTTTATCCTCTTCTGAGGGCTACTTTCACACTGTGGTCTGTAACCATAAAAATTATCAGAATACTACTGTAAACCATGACCTTCGGTATATGAAGTGGGACAATCCTCCGAATCAGCAACCTGTCAACTTGACCCAGGAGTATTTCAATGATATGGTACAGAGTGGTGCTCCTTTTGCACATAGATTTTCTATGAATGACCCTGTTCTTGAGCAGATTGATCGGGAACTTTTAAGGAGAACAGATGGCTACTTTGCCCCCGGGGGATGGTGCCTGGGAAATTCTGTTCCAGAAAAGGATCCATGTGCTCGTTTTGGGAATTCAGATGCTATAAAACCTAGTATAAATACCAGAAGGCTTGAGAAGCTTGTTCTTCAGCTCCTTGATTCAGAAAAGTTTAGGTCTAAACAATGCAGGTAGCTGTCATAGTATGATGCCCTGTTAGTCGATTATTGTCACTGACAACTCAAAATCATAATATCCAAATATCTACGGAGTAGTTGACTAGTTGGCATGCGTCTTCCTTAAAATTGTGCATAATGTGAATCATCAATGAATATTTAACATAATATATGCTCTTATTTTTGTAAAAGATTAAGCATAGATATACTTCAGTTTGTATTATCATTTTTAGCATAATGTGTTCAGCGCATTTTTTGTGCGGCTTGCCAAAATTTGGGATAATTCTGATAACATTAAGAGTGCATTCTATTAACTTGATTTTCAATTATTTGAACTTAACTAAACTTATCTAATCTTAGTTTAGTTGTAATTTGAATTGGATAACCCTTATTAGAGATAACCCATATTTTTTATGAACTGAACTTATTTAAACTTATCTTAACATAACTGTGTTGGGTTTTGTAGTGTCCAACACTATACAGAATGAAACCCTTCTAAAATCCGCTCACAAATTAAAGTAACTAAACATGCATATTAATTAACAATCATATAATTAATTAGCAAAGAGAGAGAGAAAGACAATTATACCCTTGATGAGTGCTTTGCTCCTTTTAGAGCTTGAACTTGAAAGCGTAGAGCTTTGTAAATGCGCAAGCCTCCAACGCCTCTCACCCTCGAGACCTGCAAAATGGCCCCTACCCCGAAGCTTAGTCGGGGCTAGACCAAAATAATACTAGAGTATTACGAACTTAAAGGTTTTCTCACCTATTGGGAGATGCCTAATTGAGTTCAACTCAAGTGAATAATCCCAACTTTTAAAGTTGGTATTTATAGGCAAAGGCTCCCAAAAACTTCAATCATCTTTCCATGTGGGAGAAATGATAGAGTGAAAAAAGTAAGCAATTAATTTAATTCCAAATTAAATTAAATTAACTATGCAATAATCAAATGACAAGTGTCAACATGAGGGAGGGAGTATGTAAGGACCACAAACACATCCCTGGAGAGCAGACATACACCCACCAACCCCATGTGCATGGTAGACCCCAAGCCTTGGGCCTCAAGGCATGCCATGTGGCATCCTTGGCCCTTCGGTTGGGCCATTTGCCTTGAGCACCAAGGCCCGGCCTACGCTGGCTGCCTTGTGCTCCCGGCTGGGCGAGCCAACGCGACCCATCGCAGCATAGCAGGCCTCGCACGCTTGCGGGTCGCTATTGCTGCTGGGCTGTGGTGCTGCCATCGCAAGCCCAATCGGCAGCCGGCTAGGACCGTATGCCTTGACTTGTTGTTTGACTTATTTTCTCGTCTTCTCGATTTGTTGAATCGACTCGACGCATGACACTCGGTTTCGACGCTCTAAGCTTGGAATCCGACGTCTTTGTTCGTAAAACTCTATTGACACATTTAATCCTTCGGATTAATTCGTCGTTTCGGTTCAGTTACTCAATTGGGTGTGACCTGAAGGGTTCAGTCAAGATTAAGTTGTAATATTATTTATGCATTAATATTACTAATCGGAAGTGGCCTCCAGCTAGCCATTCCGATCACTTGACCTCACTGAATAATTAGCTTTCTAATAATTCCGAATCCTCTATCGGAATAATAAAATTGTTCGAAGGACACCATTCCTTTCAATCTCCCACTTGTCCTTCCGGACAAATGCGTTGTTAGAGAATAGCCTATTTCCTATGTCACTTAATGTCTCTTCATGAACTATGAGGTAAGATTTTTCATCATTCTTATTACGTCCAGAAATGTTTCTCGATTTCCGAGCTCAACTGTCACTAAGCAAATGATTTCTAAAATCCATCTGAGCGCGACCATGCATTTTCACAGTATCGCTCTTCGAGAGGCCTTGTAAACAACAAAGACTTGTTCCCTATTGTTAATAGGGGGACATTCCCAGTCTTGCATTGTTAGTTTCCCTTACTAAGAGGACCTGGCCGCCCGAGTGTTGCCGTTATAATCCCCTTTTACGACAGATGTTTGATAACATCAAAATGTACTAGTACTCAAACAAGAGAACTTACAACACTCATGGTCGAGGAAAGAGGTTCCGATAACCATAATGAGCGATATACTTATGACGATTGTTAAATCTCTTAATATATTTTCATAGGTTGATCCAGTATAGCTCCAAACTCATACCTGTGCAAATGATTTATGACAATTTTTGTCCTTGTAGCACAAGAAACGGTGCTATAAATCATACTACACACTAATCTCAAGCGGTCATTAGTCGTCCTACTTTCAAATGACCTCGATTAGGGATAATTTCCGATATGATATTCGATGATCACTTAATAGGTGTTTCTTTATCCAAGGCATGGCCTTGATACCCTATTTTGAATATTCTCAAATCGAATGGACTCATTATTTAATTCTAAACCACAATTAAATAGTTTGTGGAATTTATTAGTAAAATTTTTATTCCACTATGAAACTTGTCAACGTTTCATCTTATGATAAATGGTTTTCCCCAAATGTTTTAAGAGTAATACTCTTGACAAAACATTTATAAAAATCATACCCATATGTAATATGCTTGATTTCTTTTATGCAATTGTGAATGTTGTGGTTCACTTATTGCATAGGTTTAGTTATGATTACTTTGCAAAGCTTAGCATCTTCATTATCAAAAACTCTCATAATAAGATGATAAGATTTGAGAGTGTTATGGATTATATGCGATTTAGGATTTATTTGTTCAAGTGATGGCTCCCACTCATTTTCATGATTTGAGATCTTCAACTTGACAACCTATAATCATCAAAGTTCAACAACGAACTATCCATTGAACAACTTCCTTATTATTGCCTTTAAGGCAATAATGTTCTCAACATATACTTTAGCAGATTTCCTAATGATGCTTTGCTTGGATTTTACTCCAACTAGCTCACAATGATTTGGATACCCTAATCATTTGTGATTATGGAAAGTTATCTTAAATTTCCGAACAATATACATGGACATAAGTTCATATTGCCATTCTCAAGCCACGACGCGTTTTTACCTCGTGCTTATAAATGGCTTCCTTGTTAAGGATCTGATCCTTGCTAAGGTTGTGCTCGCAACATCAATATTAAAATTATATTTGTTTCCATATATCAAGAATTCATCCTTTTACTTAACCAAGTAATTTGGACGTTCTTGATTATAATCAAACGATCCATTGCTTAGATTGAAGTCGATTGGTATTTTATACTTATCATGCTCTAAGCATGCAGGTCATGTGACGATTCCCTATCGTAGCATACATGATGGATTCAATTGTTGAAATATTCCCAATTCATCCTATTCATGTGACTTTTAGCTCATTTAGTTTCACTGAGTCTTGCTAAACTGTTTGCTATATGATACGGTTGAAAATCTCTACTAGAGTCTTTCTTGTTTGACTTAGTATTTTCCTAGCTTGTACTTAATTCAAACATTTACTTAGTTTTACACATATGGGTCGAAAGCCTTTTCAGGTCCTTTATGTTTAACACGGTAAATTCCTTTACTCGTTCAAACATTTTATTAAGTCTATCCAATAGATCTTAATTCCTACTATGTACTAAGTATCGCCTTTAGCTTGGTCTATCATTGAAAATTCTTTCAAATCTAAGCATTTAGCATTTGATAGTTATTTCACAACAGAGTTCGTAAACATCTTGTTGGACCTTCACAAAATTGACTTTTGCTCCCACTAAACTTCTTATTTATAAGAATTTCTATGTTTCTCCATAAGTCAAACCTTTTTCTAACTTTATGAAAAAACATATTCCAGTTCCTACATGCAATGCTTTTCTCAATCTACCAATGGAATCCTTAAGATTGCTTTCACATATAGCATTATTTAGAATTACAAAACCCTTAGACTATATCCATAGTCTCTTCCAAAAATCCTATTTTAGGAAGACGGTTTTTGTTTAGGGTAAAAATACCCTAAGACACATGGCCCTATAAAGGCTTTCCACGTGTCGAGCTTGTAGCGGTCAGCGAAGGCCCAATCCCTTTGCGACACGTGTCATTGTACCCTAATTGAGGTACAACTTTCCCCTACTATAAATAGGAAGGGCAGACCTCATTAATGGGGATCGAATCATTTTCCACCAACCAACAAAACACAAATCCCCTTGCAAACGCTCTCAAATCGAGAAGCATTTATTGTCTTATTTCCTCATTAAGAAAGAGACTAACTTAATCTTCGGAGACGGAACACCCCAGCCCCAGCCGGAGTATTCCGTTATTTGTGCAGGTACAGGATAAGGAAGGAGCATACTAGGAAATTGTAACTCTCTCGTAAGACACATCAAAAACCCCCAAACATCTGGCGCCGTCTGTGGGGAGAGTACTTTCTAGATGACTTCTGAACCGGTACTGTTGGGTAAAGGTAGTCAACCTGCTGGTGAGGCTGAGGTCCACTCGGACCAAGATACAGCCGATAATCACGAGATTGAGACTTACACAGCTGCCGATGGTTCTTTCAGAACCAAGCATACTCGTTCCAAAGACAAAAGGGAACGGGCAGAGCAGCAGGCAGGCCCAAACCATCCTACCAGGGGACCGCTTGGGTTAACTCCTGCTTCAGAGGGGGCTACCCCAGTCTCTAGGGATGAACTCATGAACATGATGATGAGCTTCAAAGGGGAGATCAAAGGCCTTCTGGACAATACTGCCGGCTCCCGTAAGGGTCAGGCGAAAGATAGGCGTCTTGGAAAAAAGACGGCCAGAACAGTAAAGGGTAGAGCATCTACCCCGCATCCGAAGTCAAATATGCCGGCTAGGCCCTTTGATTTCTCAAAGATACACACTGCCATAGATGGAGTCAGAAAACCCGTCCGGCATATACAGCCGGATGGAACCAAGAAAGTCTATTCTGATGCCCGGACGCTCATTCAGGATAAAAAGACTCAGCAGCGCTCCGAGTCGGCATCAACGTCGACCTTTCGAGACAGCTTCAACGCCACATTAGGGAGGCACTCGAGAACAAACAATGACAGCCGGACGAGCGAGGTTTACACTCGATCCGGCCCTTATATGATCCAACCGGCATTGCATGGGACACCATACACGCCCTTTGGATCTCCTTATGCACAACCAGGTCTTTTCGGGGGGCAGCAGCAGCCGCCTGTCCAGCCAATGGACTGGCAGCTCCGGCTCCTCAACCTTGGGGAACAGCCAACCGCGTTTTCCAGGGAAATCA